AGGATCGCGGGTTCGAATCCCCATCACTAAGCATGCTCATCCTTTCAGACGCGGGGGCGTAATAACGTGTCGGTCAATCCCACTATTCGTTGGTAAAAGAATAACCCAAGAATTGACTGTGGGTGGTGTTAACTAGCAGTCTTCCCTTTAGTCTATCACTGCTGAATTAGCTTTGTGCGAAATTCGAAATAATACCAAACATGCTAAATTACAAACAATATAAAATCCCCTATTTACAAAAGTCTACAAAGTACCCAGACATACATCAAAAACATTTCATACACAAATATGCAAGTCTTCAAACACTGCCTGATAGACTCCTACATAGCTCGCTAAATTATTTCGCAAAAAATTGGCATAACAATGAATTAGACTGCTATTGCATATATGATGGAAATAGTCCTAAGCACCTCTCTTCAGTTAACATACATAAGAAACAGACAAAACTTAAGATCATATTTTGTTAGACCCACACCCCTACCATTAGTTTTATTAACTAAAAGATCATTCAAAAGGATTTTTATATACGTAACGCTCTCAAGGCAAATTAAAACTAAAGAGAAATACCTGGAATTGTTCGCAATGTGCAAAACATTCGCAAAAAAAACAAAAAACAAATATATAGAGAAAATGTGTTCGACATATCAAATATTACTTTGATTACCTATAAGGACATAGTCTTGAAAGTGACCAGGGAACGTGCCAAGAAACCTAGCACAATCTCTGATCCTCCTGTAATAATTAGATTAATATTTTTCCTGGAATAAACAGTTAACATTGTGAAGGGTGAGGAAGAGGTCTAGAGTGCACCCGACCCTCCCAGGCCTATAAACCAACAAGATCTAAACTCTCTTCAAGAAACAAGAAACATATTCACCTGACAAGCATGACTTCTTTTTTACATTAGCTTTTTGCCTGCTTAAAACGCGTTACCTTTACAAAAAGTTATTTGACAAATCGCTTGCTGTTATAAAAGGGGAAAAAATCTTAATATCTAAGCTTTAATGACAATAATCTTAACTACAATAATTAATTCAACAGTGTTTTCCATTTCTAACTAATTAGTACAATGCATAATTTCAGTTACGAGGTCTATATATTAGGTAAATGTCAAAGCCTTTGTTATTTTATATTTAACCTTCTGTTGTACATTGTAACGTACATGTAACAAATCTATGTTTTTCGCTTAATACGTAAAAAATGCTTCATTTCTGTAGCTGAAAGCTCTTATTTCCAGGTAACAGTTTAAATAAACTATGGAATTATTTCTGTTGGTTCCTCAGCTGAACAATGCTACTACTGGGTAACATACCCATTTATAGTTTACGAAAATATATTTCACAAAAACATATTTTTGTGTAATATAGAATTATCTTAGTAAGTAATTCAAAGAAAACATTTTTTCCGCCGTATTTTCATAATGCGTGCAACAGAGAGTGACCACGGTAAATTTCAAACTGTACCAACTGTTACTGAAACAATTTCTCTCTAATAACAGCTTCAGTAATATTCTAAAAAATGCAAGATTAAAACTCAAAGCACCGTCAATTTTCTTTACTTTCTTCAAACTAAATTAACAGTGGCTTATTTAACCCAAATGAAAGACTAATTTTAGTGCCCCAAAACTTTTTTTGTTTATCTTTATTTTGAAGAACCAAGTAAACGAAAGTTAGATAATTTGAAATTTAAGAACGTGAGTATATATATATATAACTCAATTTACATTCTCTCAAAAAAGTAAAGAATAAAGCGCTTCTGTAAAACTTTAAATAGGTTTTTTTAAACAAAAATATATCGTTTTTTCATCTTTCTGGAATTATTTGAGCTATATATTTACTTTTTTGTAAAGCTAATTAATTCAATAAATATTGAAATAAAAAAGAACTCCAACCATATCAGTGAAATTAGATTGTATAAATTACGTTCAGACCTAAGCACATTCGAATGTTTAAATGTTAGTATAAAATTTAGAAGAGAAAATAGACACGCTCTCGATTTTTTATGAGTATTTGAAAATCTAAATAGAATTAAAAAAAACATAAGGAAAGAAAAAATACTTCAATTTATATTTAAAAGCTTACTAAACATCGTAAGAGAATTGTTTTTATTAATACTGTTTATTTTCAACAACAGCACCAACTAAAATAAACCGCATAAAGCTGTAAGTAACAATTAATACATCAATTGGATAGATTCACTCAAAAAATGTTTAAAGTAAATCTAGTGAACATTTTTGTAGGAAATCCTAAAGAGTATTAGAAATTTGATGTATATTCTTGAAATGAGATGAAGAACACTGAATGTATATTTTTTACAGAAAACGAACGCCATGTTTCTTTGTTGTTGTTTTTTTATTGACCAAATCTAGCAATTCAAATGACTTCTTTTATGACTACGACTAATAATATTCCGTTATAAAACTGTTGAAGAAAAAGGTTTTGTGGTTTAACTCCGATAAAGAAGACTATCATGGAACAGTAATATACACAAGAACATTTTCATGTTTGTTACTGGAGGTAATAAGTTTACCACTAGGTGTTTCCTTGTTCTCTTAGAAACAAACAGTCAGTATAAAACTGCAGTATTATTAAAATTTTAAGACCCACCAATCAGTGTCTGTGACAGCAAAATCATTGGGTCGACTTAAAAGGTTTGAGTGCCAGAATGAAAAAAAAAATTCAATATTTTGTACAATAATAACCAACATTATTACTCTAGAATTCGTATGTCTGTTGCTTCAAAATATTGGTTTAAATAACTTATTAAGATTAAATATTCTACCAATCATCATTCATAAAACTTATCGACATTCAAAAACTATATATTTTATTTTTCAACTTTTATTACTCAACTTTAGAAATATTATCATACTACATGAGGTACACTTTTGTATAATATGACATATACTATGAAATACGACATATAATATCATCAAGTAAGAAAAATATACTATCATCAGTTATGAAATATCCCATGATTCAGGTATACATCCATTCAATAATTTATATATACTATTCAATATAAGATCTACTGGCATTCAGTATAAGTTACATTACAACTTAGTATAAGTTACTTAAACATGCAGTATCGCATCATTACCGTTC